TAGCGACAGTTTTCCCTCCTTTGAAGTTAATATAATCATTTTGTTTATTTTGTTAGTGCTCGCTAATCGTTATTCCGACCAAATTACTTGCTCAATAAGCATGAGTGGAATTCTCTGGAGATTCTGTCTGCCTGTTCTAAAGTTCATTTGCAATTTTATTTTAACTTGCAATGAAGGGGCCCCTGCGGTTCTTTTATAATTCATTTTTTTATTTCTTCGTATTTCCGTAGCCATCTGCTCAGTTCTGTAATCTTATGTCTTCCCTTATTGGTAATTATCTCCATACCTGGTACTGATTTGAATGTTTTAATCTAGACCTATGTGTTTTTAGGTCTGCTCTACCTGCATTCTTGTAGTCTGTTCACTTTAATCATCCTTTTACTTTGGTATCGCTTTCCCTACGTAACATTCTTTCTTGGACTGCTGTAAGTTTGAATGGATAAAATTAACCGTACTGTCAATCAATAATGCCATTATCACCTCGATAGGAGATGTGTGATGATGTTAACCAGGAATAATACTTTTGCACTCAGCAATTATGAATGTTGATCGTTTTACACGTTGTGCAGTATGTTATCGCCTGTTCCTTTTGACGTGTTGTGTAGGTTACTCGTCGGTTATCTGCTGAATAAATTTCTGTTTGATAGGGCCTTCTAACTGTTGGGATTCGAAATCAAAATTCATTTATATCAATGATCGGTCACACACCTCCTCGAAGTTGATTGCTGGCCCCATGGACAAGATCGCTGCTGTCTTCATGTGTAGAATTTAATTTCCTTTACTTCACTCATCCGATCACCTCCGACCAATGCCCCCGTTTACGCTCTTTTAAAATGTCTAGCTTCAATACAAACCCTTCCTTCTTGTGGCCTCTCTCGCTTCACTGTTTGACCATGTTTCGCTCTACAGAAATGACACACGATCTCGACAGTTGAAACGATAGGTTAAATGTAGCTTCTCATTGGTAAAAATATTTTTTGAAGAATTATAGTAAGAATCCTAGGTACTCCTCTTTTGACCCTTTTATAACAACAAGGCCTCTTTAACTCATGATCAACATGCATTGCTGAAATTCAGATTATGCTTTGGGCAAGTATGGATTATTTTAACAAATTCTTAATGGGACCTTCATACTTATGACGTATAACAGTCGTGATCTCAGTCGTCAGTAGGCCTTCTACCTGATAGACAGCCGACTGCTTTGCGATAGGTATCACATCAAGAAAGCATATTATATGTAATTTAATCTATAGTAACTAGATCGATTGATAAAGGACCTTGCTCATAGCGCCGCCTTGCAGAGGGTTGTGATTGGGCCACTAGTATCACTGTCTTTCATAGCCAAGCAAACAATTGGGACTGAAAGTAATTGGCCTCTGTTTATAAAAGCACCAAAAACTCGTTTTAACCGAATAATGCTGCGGAATATATAGCAAGTGGTGGAGGATTGGAGTCTTTTGATGAATGTGCAGAAATGTCCATTCTCATTTGGTAGCCTACAGCATTCACAGTAGTGTGGGAAAGGTTTACCCTCATCTGAAAACCGTTACAACCTTACGCCAGTGTTATTGAGCGCATTATTTCCGCAAATTTCGTCGAAATTCATGTCCGACATTGCTGACAGGTTTGCCTTCTTACATCATGAGCGATGCCTGATACCCACGATCACCTCTAAAAGTCAAAAGTCACCACTTTCATCATGCACGTGTCCTCATTGATTTCAAAGGAAATAAAAACTTAGTCATGAGGTCGAATACGTTAAACATGATCGCCTCCATAACCAGCCGTGATTGTAACCGTAGGAAATATCATTGTGTGTCTCACAAGGTGTAGAGTGGTTTTTCCTTGTTCAGAAATTTATCAGTTGCTAGAGCAGATAACTCAAGGCTATAATTAAAGAATAGACGCAGTCTTTACAAATAGACGTCGTAAGGATGTCGTTATACCATTCAGATGTGTTAATCTTCATCCGAGTCCTGTGGTACAGCATATCGTATACCACGTACATCTCCAGGTTCATATACTAATTTTATGACGAGATGGCAGAAACAATTGCTTTAAATCACCTGATACAGGGTCCAAACAAAATCGATCGTTGCATTTGCACATGTTGTGTGGATATTACTTGATTGTCTCATTGTGTCTGCCTCGTTTGACTTAGTTCAGTACCTTGTTTATATCTTCTTAGTTGTGAGGTTTTATCCAATTTCAACCTGAAAACTATTTCGTCGAAGATTCTTTTGGCTAGATATCAGTTGTGTCAACCACATCCATTCTATATGAACCTAGTTAGCATATACTGGGGCTAAATCTTTGTAAAAACTCATATATATTTTTTATTTAATGTGTTTGGAAAGCCTATCACTTTCTATGGTCTTTTACATCCCACCATTACGGTGTTTTAATGCGCTAATAAATACAGTAATATAGAGTTCATACTTTTCAAACACCTTCAAACTGTCAACCAAAGCGAGGGCGGCCGGGTCAGTCATTCCTGCTCAGTATACTGAGGGCGGATAGGCGTGAGCTTTTGAGTGTCTTTGCCATCGTTCCATATAGTTAGGTTGAAAATGTAAATATAGCCGTGTCTGGAGCGGATTTGTAACATGCTTTATGCCAAGTTGAAACGCGTTCGATATTTTAAATTGCCTATTAATTTTGTCGATCTGTTAGTTGAAGTAAGTTTATTTTTGTTGGATGTTCAGCGAAGCCGTGACCACTAGCTGGAATGTATGTTCTTTGTGTTTTAGTCAGAAGACTAATGAAGTTGTCATACAGCCCTGATTGCATTTAGGCGCCCAGAGCTAGGCATTTGCTGGCCTGTTTGATTTGCGGTCTAGTGCAGGGCTAGCAATCTAAGCGGTTAATGGTACCCGTCCTGTGCGAGGAAAAGAGCCTTTCTGCAACACCCCCTCCTTGATGCTCACTGGAGCGCATTCAGAACATCATGCCTGCGGCTCCCTTTGTGCGTACGCACGCACTTTGTCCGTAACTTTAGACGACTGCCTAGAGACTTAAATCGCCTCGGGCGACAACGTTTCCAACTCTCCCGATAAGGCGCGTCAGCTTACTGCACGCGTGTGGGCAGTGTCTTCGAGGATTGCTGGAAAAAAGTCTGTCTACCACGACACTAGCTCGCGACCGGGCCAGCCCCGGCGACCAGAATGCTATCAGGGAGGTTCAGGTCCTTAGGCTTATCCTCCATCCTGGAGTTCTTTTTCGCGTCTTTGATTTAGTATTGCTTCGTAGACATCAGTTCTCGCAATTATTTTTGGCACACACAGATTTGCTGTATTCTCGCACATGTTCGTCGCAGGATGATTTGCGTGCTTTCCTAAGCGAGACTGTTGCAAAATAGCTTTTTGGGGAGTCAAATCCGGCGATCTGTGCGATCAGTTATGAGATACATGGGTATGTATAGCCCGCGGGCTGATTGCCCTTGTGTTTTCTTTGAAACCTGTTCTTGTCCTCTTATAAGAGGCATGTCTAGGACCTACTTAACAAATCCTCTCCATGCATGCTCGGTTATGCACATGAACAATACTTACATATAACATTAGAGATGTTGTTGAAAAAGGCATAATTTAAATGTCAGTTAGCTTGGGGGCAACTTAGAAAGAATGGAATATACAACTTAGATTCGAATGCTTCATTTCGTCCTGTACAACGTGATAGCATGAGAAGACATAAACATTGGATAAAGTATGGGTAAAATATGGTTGACGAGATTGACAACTGTATGGTAAGGAGGAGAAAATGCAATCGCATGACACCCAGCGCAATTAATTCGATTCTTGGAACGTATGAGAAGGATGACAAGCGGGGCGGATATCTTCTGAAACAACCTTATCGTATGAAAACTAATCCGTTAGCCACATGACACATGAAGGTGTCGTAAGTGATATTCTCAAATAAAAAGTTCATTCACGCATCCTTATTTGCCATTAAATAAATCAGGCAGTCCAGGGTGGGAATTGCCGCTGAAAGCCAGACGTGGCAAAAGTACTACATTTCAGATGTAGCCTTCAGTCCAAACCTAGCTGGAGGGACGACTGAGACTTTCGACCAGCTATTAATACAGCCGCTCTGATAATATTTTTTAAGTTTCTTTACATGCATTATTCCAGCTCTATTCACATACTAATTTTATGTGATTCTTACTTCTGTGGGTCAATCCGATACATATGTAACTTTTGTTCGTGTGACAGTACTGAGATTGTGATGGTCGTTTGTTGTTGTTGGCGTGCATACTCCGTTACCTGACTCTCTACGCAGTCTGCTTTCTAGTATTACTTCACATCAAAGGTTCTATTTATATGCGGGCTTTCGAAACAAAATTTTTAGACGTTATGACTATGTCGTCGTTTGAGCCAGCCATGACAGTCTCCTCTCTAGTAGTCGGGAGGCCGACTAGAAAACCACATCTAGTTCTCTGTTTTCTTAACTTCATCGAATTACAGCGGATGACCCTCTGCCATCGTGTTGGTTACATTTCTATTCTCTGCGTCTGTCGGTGGCAGTTGGTACGTTCGAGAAAAATTGTAGTCAGACAAATTAATGTAACGTTTCACAAATCAGTGCTAGAACAAGGAAACAAAGTGCGAGATGGCTCCTCATTCTTTTTATTTAAATATACTCGCCTAACCACCTGTTTTTGAGCCTGTTGCTGAAGATACATAAAAGATTTGTATTATCACTTGTCTTTTATGCCAACTTTTAGTGGATCAATAATGAAGTCGCTCTTATTTCTTCTCTGTGTGGTTGTGACCTCCGCCTCTGTCGTTAAACCCCGAGTAGTTCCATGGGAGGAGCTCCGTGCTCCAGATCATCCACCACCCCATACGCTCGGAGACAGTGAGATAGGGCATTTATGGAAACACTTCCTGGAAATTTTTAAACGCAACACCACCGCCACTACGTCGTTTTACAATTTTGTCGAGAATCTTAGAAAGATTTGGCAACACAACCAGTTTTTCAAGAAAAATGAAACCTCTTTTGAAATGGGGATAAACGAGTTTTCTGATTTGGTAAGTTTATCTTTTATCAAGTCTAATTTGCCCACTGTTTAGAACCTTGAGGAGTTCCGGACCCGTCTGGGTTACAACGCCAGTTTGCATCTAAAGGGCGGTGATCTCCCTCATTATCTCTATATAGCCCCTCCACTCGACACTCCACTTCCGGAATCCCATGATTGGAGAGGTCATGGCCTTGTCACACCGGTCAAAAACCAGGGAAGATGCGGCTCCTGTTGGGCATTTTCCTCAACGGGCGCCATTGAGGGCCAACTGAAGCGCAAGTCGGGCCAGCTGATCAGCCTCTCGGAGCAGCAGCTCGTGGATTGTAGCACAAAGTACAACAACCTAGGTTGTAACGGTGGTCTGATGAACAACGCATTCGAATATGTGCAAGACGCTGGGGGCATTCAACGCGAGGTGGATTACCCGTATGTGTCCGGAGAGACAGAAAGCCAAAATGACCAATGCAGCTTTGAAAAGTCGAAGGCGGTAGCAACGGTAACAGGCTTTGTAGACGTGGATTCAGGCGATGAGGAGAAGCTCCGCAGAGCGCTATATTTTCACGGTCCCATATCTATAGCCATTGATGCCGGGAGAGAGAGCTTTATGTCTTATCACTCTGGTTAGTCCCCTTTGGTGCTCTTCCCTAAAGGGAGATTTGATGGTTTTTTTTCTGACTTATCTTCGCTTTTTCATGATTCCAGTTGCGGTTTGTAGTACAGTAGAAATGCAGTTTGAAAAAGGCCCTATATAGACCATGTCGACTAATTAGCCTCTTTCACTAAATTGCAGACCACTAGCAGCCGTGGGAAGCCGCAAGTTGCCTGTTATTAATTCCATTGCGAAAGCCCTTTAGGTTGACCATAGAGATAGTGTTGTGGTCCCCACCACCTAGTAGTTTGTATGCACGACAGCTCCCAAACCAACCTTCAGACCCCATTTTCGGCTTATAGCGATTGACTAACTTGAAGTTTCCCCCCCCCCCCCAATTTTGCAAACGTTTTTGGGTAAATCTTCATTTTTTTCTTGTTTATAGGTATTTATGATGACCCAAATTGTCAGAACGCAGCAGATGAGCTTAATCACGCTGTGCTTTTGGTCGGTTATGGTGTGGAAAAGGGCATTCCATATTGGCTGGTAAAGAACAGTTGGGGACCAAGGTGGGGCGAATCCGGGTACATTCGAATCAGACGCAACAAGAATAACCTCTGTGGCGTGGCCACAGCATCATCATTTCCCCTTGTTGAGCCCTTGGGAAAGATGGAAAGCTGTAAACCACAGTCATTTTAACCTTTTTCGCTCTCCGACCCCTGCTTTTTAAATGTATGAGGGGAACTGCTTCTGTCCAATTATTCGCTATGTACATTTTAAAGACTTGTGGATTTGTACCTGTTTTACAATGTGTTTATGTGCTTCGATGTGTCAACCTCTATTGGTTGGTTTAGTAATAAGCTTTTTCATCCCATGCGATGCCTACTACACAAATAAATAACATTGCTCGCCAAAGAACGTTTTGGACAGGACGCATGAATCATGTCACGTTATCAGAATTTTGTTTCTTCGGAGCAAAATAGATGTTTCATCCCAATTAAGCTGGCAATATACGAGCACACGAATGGAAATGCTGAAAAACTTTACAGGCTAATTATTCGACAGGGGCTACCAGTTGAAAATTTTTGCTGCAGCATTTCGATTGTTAGAACGTCATGCTCTTTTTACTGACACCTGGTTTGGCTGTAATCATGCCTGACCCTTCCACGCGAGTTTAGGAGGATTTTGCCAAAATTTTAAAGGCGGATTTGGGGAGCCCGACCCACTCACTTTAGAGTTGGGATCGAAGACCCAAGAGCCACATCCAAAACTCTACGGACCGTGTTAAGATGGGGTTTTGGGCGAACCTTTTTGCATTCATTTTATCATAGCTTGACTAACAGGGCGATATCGTTGGCTTAGTCGTGGTCAGCCGGTCAGTGACCAGGTTCAAATTCCGAGTCGTTACTACCGTGCGGGTGCCTTTAGAGAATCTGGTCAATGATGCAGTTGGACAGGATACAATATTTTGGTATGGCAGTCCGAATATTCAGACGGTCCGAGCGGGCTGTTGCGGACCAGAGCTCGAACGGTGGTGGTGCTATAGCAGATTCTGATCATAGTGACGGCCCTTGGCGGCGTGCCCATCAACTGCACTATCCGTTACGGGGACTTGCGATGAATAGAGTCGAACGCTGCAGCGAAGTCAACAAGGCAGACGGCCGTCGGTAGCCAAACCGACGTTCAAGAGTGCACCACAGTGTGAGCGTTTGGTTGGTGCATCCGCAATGGACTGCAGAACCCGGCTTTGCTGAGTCCTGCTCTTGAGCAGCGCACACTCCGAAACCGCCCAAGAATTGTAATGGCAAAGACTTGGAACAATTTCGGTGAGACCTGTGCCGCGGCATAGTTCCCACACTGTCTCGTCGCCCAGTAATCAGGAACAACCTAATCTTCCTATGCCCCATCAAGTCACGGAGACAGCCCGCCAGATTGTCAATGTGCGGCTTGTAGGCTTCGGTGGGACGCAATTCTCTCCGAGCACCTAGTTATGCAGCCTCAGCGTTGAGTCCATAGGGTGACTAGGTTGCATAGGCAGGAGAAGTTTAGAGCTACAGCGAAGAGAGCCAGGGTGACTGGTTGGTCATCGGTGTTGTAGGGTTGCTAGGAGTGCTTACGCCAACATCCGACTCTGGCTGGGCTGTCAGCTATAAAACCGCTATGCACATCGCGACTAGTCAGCACAGAGGGTCTGCCACTAATTTTGAGAATGATTTGGCAGTTTGCAAAAATCACTGACACTCAAGGTCTGTTCTACAGAGACCACCACTTCGGCTCAATAGTTTTTACGGCAATCGCTAACCGACTTTACCCTCATTTTGCTTCGTGGGTGGCAGAGATCGTCGTTGCGGAACATAGATTGAGTTGCCTGAACAGGCATCTATGGGTTTCTTAAGCTGCTTCAGTCATTGGCCGACGGTAGGCGAACCCGACAGCTCTAAGATGCCTCTCGAACTGAGGATTTAAGCAGTGATCAATATGACTCGTCCTATTTCTTCAACAGCAGCCTTTAAGCCACAATGGAAACGCGAGCTGTACAGAATAAGCACGACCAATCAGGAATCATATCTTCCCCATATCCGTTGGGGACTACAGTATCACATCCACTTTACTTTTGACTGGGGGTATGGGCAACCCATCCGGGGGTTCCCATTCATAGTCACCTTCAATTTTCGAAGTAAATTGTCCTACCAGGTCGGAAATGCTCGAGCATCGCCATGATAACCTCCGACAGTCATAACGTCTGGTGTAGGCTGGCCGAACACTTCTGACTGTCGAACCCTGCATTCAGGCTGTGAACATTGACTACGAATGGGTCTAGACAGTGTGAATAACCGGATACCCTGTTTTCTGGTTCCGTGCTCCCTAGCGTTGACTAATTCTTGGCAAGATTGACAAGCAGTGTTATGACATCACTTTGAGCGCCTGGGGATGCGTCAGATACACAACAAGCATTAGCATCTGGGTAGTAGAATGTGCTGACGAGAACGTCTAGCTGACCAAGTTCGTGCAGGTTAGATACCAGGCCATCAGGATAGGTTATATCGAAGAGTAGGCAATGTCGATTGCGACCTTGACAATTAAATATTGCGACCATTTTTTGAAAGACAGCATAAAATGACCATTGGCCATTTGGCCTCATGTGGAGATAGCACTTACTTTTCTGAAAGAAAAGATGCATTTTAAAAGCGAACTGACATTAACAGAACTTCCAGCGCCCGTTTGCTGAAACCGGGCACTCACACAATACTCTCGGACGAAACGGATGATCCAAGGCCAACCAAAGGTCAGTATCAGAGAAACTGAGTCCAACAAGCGCGACCGTCCCTTGCTCTGCTTGAACTCTCGCCGTCTTGAAGCGGCAGTCGGCAACAAATTGTTAGACTGTTATGAAAAGAGGCATCTCACGTTTCCTGTCGGTTGCGACGTAGTTCATGTCGAGCCATTTGCGTCGTAGAAACCGGTAGACAATTACGCACACGCCAGGCAGTAGAAAGCATTGAGGCCTTGTCCACGATGACAGTCCACTAAGTCTGAACCGGACAAAAGTTTGCCTCTTATCATGCCGAAATCATTTGCCGTAGGAACGACTGGGCATCCAGTAGGCACTTGAGATCTGGCATACAACTACGGCATCCATAAATCACTGCATAGCTGTGATCATAACTGGGATCTTTTGGTAACATGTCAAAAGGTGGGGCGTTCATTGGGACGGGTGTATTTGTTTTTATACGTTTCAGGTATCGATTTCGGGTAGTTATCTCCGAAAACCGTACATGTATGTGCACAGCTTTCTTTACATTGCGCTTTGGCTACAGATGCATGTTGTCTGGCGCATGGACCACCAATACTAGCCGTGGGTGCGAAGTTGGTCCCCGTTTTGCGTTACTCCCACCCTCCTTAACCGCAGCCATAATTGGCGGTCCCGACAGTCTGGTCTCGCGCCCACCTCTTATCAAGTACGTTTACAAGGCCCGGTGGGGTGTGATTTTATCGCGGCGGTATAAGCCATAGCAAGATCCTAGCCTTTACGACCCTCAGCCTCAGTTCCAAACAGAAAGAGAAGAACTGGGAAGCCAGAATGTTGTAATTTGCCTGGAACTACTAGAAAACTTGGTAGGAGCTGGCGGTCGGACGAGGGCACGGCCGACGCCGCGAGTGTGAGACAGTGGGGCATCCTCCAGCTCCTTCAACGAGGTCATGTCTGGGTCAGTCTCGAAGATGATTGGCCAGTTTGAACAGCCGAGAACCGGACTGCAATTGGTGCGCACGTACAGGTGGTCGCGAGAGCCTCAGTGCTGCAACATGCGCCTAGAGTTGACCCCTACAGTTCGCGAGCGTCGGCGTGCACCGTGCGCCCCCCGGGTGGGCGCAGCACGAGTGACTTGTGTGCGAACTAGTTCATCGTGAGGCTGACTAGCGCGGCCTCTGTCGCATTCCCCTCTCACTCAACTGACTCCGATGACAAGGTCATGTTAAGACGCCCGGAGGTGGGCTAGGGCGCGGTGGTTGACAAAGCTAAACAATCCAGAATAGGGGGCGGCTCAGGCATCACGTTCGTGAGATGGCCATAGAGGCCACATCATGAAGGAGACATTGAAGTTGACTCCTAGTCACCCCACGTTTACCAAGCGCCGACCACGAGGACCGAGTTATCCAGTTTGCGGGCAACCTTCCAGGCCATGACTTTTGACGCATCGTGATATTTTCGGAGCGCGTCAAATGTATTATTAGTGAGTAATGCACTGTGGGGATGGGTTCAGCGGTACCGGTTTAATTCTTTCCTCCCCATCCCGTACACCAGTTAACCGTCCGAGCCTGCTGGTCCTGCGATTGGACTCAGTGGCTGAAAGAGCTGCAACATCCCCTCTGGGCAGGCCACACACACGACGTGGTTAGGCACCAGGTTGCGCCAAAGGACATGACGTGGGCGGTGCGCGCACTCTGTATGTGTCGGGTGTTCTGAGGCGGGCTAACGGTGGGCTGGTGGGACGAGGTGTGGTTGTGGAATAAGGGCCGCGGCGTTAAACTGCAGATGTTCATGAAGGTGCGCATGGAAGGTCCTTGGACAGCGTGTGTGTGTGCAGGTGAAACGGTTGCGACGGGTGTATATTGGGGCTCCTGACACTGATAGGTCATTTTCACTGCGACGGATTCTCAAGTACCCAATCAGGCTCATGTGTCATACGGTGACGACAATATTGGTGGTGGACTTTGTAGTGCTGGTGGGAGGGGAGTTTCCAAGTGCAGGAGGTGCTTTTGTCGGCATAGGCACACGGCAAGTTAGACCCATGCGGTGTGTGAATTACCTGAGGAGTGTATTCCGGGTCTACAGGTAATTGTTTAACAGATATGTGCCACGAATTCGCAAGTGATCGACCAGGCTTATGCGCGATTGGAAAGTGCAACTGCAATGGTAGTAGGTTAGAATTAAATCCACATCATTGGTGGCGGGGGCAGCGGTGGTAACGCTTGCATGTCGGTGCGTGTTCTACTTAGTGTTGTTTGTTATGACGGTAGTGGTGGCGTGAGAGGGGAAGGAGTCTGAGGTCGACCGTGGGGACTGCATCCCCACGGAACTCAGCGTATATTCCTCAATACAAGTAACCAGACGCGCTTTTAAGCCGTCACTGTAATCTAGAAGCTATAGTCTGGAAGACTTCCAAATGACGAAATAACACGGTCCTTACTCCAGGACGGACAGTCAGGCTGCATTGCCCTCCCCCCCCCATTTGGGATCCAAGCCGTCCCCTTATTCTAATTACGTGAAATCCTGCCTCCTCGTGCTCGGACCAGGCGCGTGTAGTCTACGAGTTGAAAGTCTGCGAGCCACGGTCTGCATGTAGATGAGGCAATCTCTGCATTTGCTCAGGGCATCCTTTCTAACCCCATTCCTCGCAATGGGGCAGCAGTGTTGTCTCTAAATACGGCTGCTTAAACATCCCAGACGGTTGCCGATCTCCACCGTGGGTCACGGCTTTGCTTAGTACGAGAGTGACCTGAGTTAGTTTGGAGTCAGCTGCGCCACACACCTGCATCCACCTCCGCCTCTGCCCTTCTTGACTCTGCCTTGGCACGGGGCTCAATTGGGAGGACGAGAGAGAGAGAGAGAGAGAGAGAGAGAGAGAGAGAGAGAGAGCGGTAGATGCAGCGCAAGTCCACACTCACTATAAATTAGCCCACGCGCAAGTCACCGTGCCTGCTGCACCTTGCTGTGGAGTACACGGTGTGTATCGTCGGAAACGCCAGTCGGGCTGTCTGGGCCGCCTAGGAATTTGCATGTTGCCCTCTCCGTAGGAATTTTTGAAGTGGAAGGGAGGAAGGGATGAAAATTACTGCCCGGGGAAACACAAAACACCAGAAACCCTCATCTAATTCAGGCCGCCGATCAAGCTGATTACCAGGGGGGGGCTGCTAAGCAGAACATAACTTCGAAAAGCCACAGATTAGAGTTGAGTGCCAGTTAAGGATCGTGCGGAGAAGTCATCATTTGAATGGCGCGACTTATCAGACCTACGCTGTTTGCCCCCTAGCTAGGCACTTCTACATCTCACCCAATCACTACAGCTGGGACGTCGTTTCCTACGATGTCCATCGTGTGGTTTAAAGCATGGCGGGCGGAGGGATGGTAACTTGCACGGGAATTAGTTTATAATCCTCGTAGAGTTGCGCTGCATCTGCCGCACTTTCTCTTCCTCACCGAAGTGGACCCATCTCATGACATTGTCAAGAAGACCGGAGGCGAGAGAGGGCGCAGTCGACTGACGCGGCGTGAGTCTGCGCCTAGAAGTGCAACCACACTCCCCTTCGTGACATTTGTTATGGGTGCACATTACCAGTAACGCCTGTTGTACCCTGATCTGGCTCGCGTATTGGTCTAACGCATCCACCGCGTGGCCCATTTTAGGGATACACATGCCCACACACCAGACGCTCATCTGGGTGAACCCGCCGGTCAAGGACGCTTACCAAGGTGTGTCCACCGCTCTAAGCACGACTTCGTGGGGCCACAGCTGAAAGCTTGGGTGACGAGACGGGTCGAAGCAAAGTATTCGTCAGGTCCATGGATGCATTCGATGGGGATTATCAGTGTACTGTTTATCGGCGCTTCCTACCGCCCTAATCGTGCGCGCACTGCCAGGCCCAACTGACATCGCCCATGCTACATCTTCGTGCATAGTACTTACCGGAATTGCATGTGTGTGTCGTAGGATATACTCGTCAGTATAATATTATGTGACCTTCATCCAAGTGGATCGATGGACTGGGCGTGACCGTGCAGCTGCAGCGTGGTCTCCGCCCACGACACTCTGTACACCCCAGTGCAAGTGGGATATAAGGAAGTTTGCACGGTAATTGACTGAGCTGTCGGTCGACATACAGGAGTCTAGCTCTTGCCTTGATATGTGATCTTCATCCCAACCCACAATCTCAATTATGCTAAAGTTGAAAATATGTCCCATCTGTGCGACATTGATAGTCAACTCCAACTTCAAGTCTAGCCTTCGAACGGGAAACTGGTGTTCATACATCCGCGGTTGTAGTTCTTGCCTAGTTTCTCGGATACATTTGCACACCCCGCAACTGTACCGAAGTCGATAGACAGCAACTGACTTCCGCTATTCAGGGATAGGATTAATTACTGTGAGAGATCTGGTTACGCTCTCTGACATGCCGTTATCTGGACTCCGTGGACTTCTAATTTCGCTTTCTGCCAACCAGTACTCATGTTTATCGGCTGGCTCTAAAGAGCTCTCGGAGGCGCTTGACCAGATCCCGTTTGGCGATTGGTATACTGTTGTGAGTCTCAGTCTCCTGTGCAGCATACGTACACAGTATCGTTCGCGCCACAGCGGGAAACTGTCACTGTAAGTCAGTGTTTGCCGTGTTAATCTGTCTCCTGCACAGCATCGTTGCTAGTTGACCGTCGGATTGGCGACGGACATTGACATCTAGAGACGGACGTCAGTATTTCGGTGCCTTTATCGTTGGCTGTGACTCCAGGGTAATGAGTTCAGTTGTTCTTTACGCACATAACTCTGGCCCTACCGAATCCGATATGACGCTTTATGCTTAGGTAGGATGGAATGCATTTTGGAGGCATTCGGCATTATGTAATTTTTGTAAACATTCATGGGCGTGCGTTCTGCACAATCTCCTAACAAGGAAATCCTGAGAGCGAACAAGTTCAACGCGGAAATGTCAGAAGGTCACTATCAAGCACTGTGACCAGAATGGGGGGCACCAGGCCCTTCCGTTAGACTGTAGCTAACGTTAAGTTGGGAAGAAACTTTGGAGGACCCAGGCGCTCTATACTGAGGACTCATTTATGCTCCCGTAAGCCAGTTATAATCCCCAGCCAACATTTGTAAACAGAAACACAAAATGTAAATATTCCACAGGCAAGGCCAAATGGAGGCGTTAGGAGCACGAATAAAGCAGACGGTCCTACTCGGTGTCGGTTATAATCTACACGAGAGTAGGATAAGATTCGCTTCACCCACTTATCCACAAAACGCTGACTGATAGCGAAACATAGGTCGAACATCGACCAGAAAGCACCTCGTCCGCGGCCGATTCATGTTTGTGTGCGCTTATGTGTGTTCACACCCTTCCAAACGAGCTGCGCGTCGGGTGCGATGAACCGTGGCACGCAGTTGCTGGCCAACACTGTCTGCATGAATCCCTAACTAGAGTCGTGCATGCTTGCGGGATCCTTGCGACGAAGGTAAAAGCCACGTTAGGCTCTGCGCTCATTCTCGCCACCAGCCGACCGAAAGGCTCTGGCGGTCAGATGTGGTTGTGTAGTCGCACCTGAGGTAAATAAACCCCAGCCACCTGTAACAAGGGACCGGTGCTAATAGGGGTTTTTACAGGTGGGGTCGGGGAACGCAGAGATGACGAGGTCAAGTAACTATATGCGACAGAAGGGCTATTGGGAATGCGCGGCTGTACTTTGAGTGTTAGAGAAATAGTTACCCTAACCCTTAACCCTAACCCCTAACTCTAATCTCTAACCATGACCCTAAGCCCTAACCCTAACCCCAACCCTAGCTCTAGTCGCAGCCCTAAACCATAACCCTGAAACATCCAACGTGAAATTTAGAAGGAGACGACAGGCCGAAAGTCAAGAGGGACCACCGACATTAGGCCGAAAAAGGTAGACCTTGTTGGCAGTGGTGGACATCGTCGCCTGCGGCGGACGGGCTATCGTGTATGCACTTTGTGTTGGCTGACGGTATTGTTGGTTGATCTGGGACCCGGTCATCTCAGGACGGTAAAAATTATCGCCGAGCATCTGTTGTCCCAGTCTCCATATCGCAACTCTGTCTCCCACTGTCGCTCGCCTGGTCGCTTTTCAGCTTAGTAGACAATCACCTACCAGTTAGTGGTGGAGTTCACTTGAACTTGAAAGCTAAGTAGATCGGTTCGTGCCTTTTTCCGTGGGAATGCCTAAAGTTCTCAACCGTCCCAAGTATCATTATGATTACTTTCTGGTCAGCTAAAGTAATCAGGTGCCAAATTTCAGTCAGAGATTGGACCGATGACTATCCTCTCCGAGGACAATGACCTATGCATGCAAGGGAGGTCGTATTCTGCTTCCTCGTGCTTTGGTTCAGTGGCAAGTTTTTGTCAAAATAACCGGGGACTCGTTGTGATGTCATGACCTTAGTCCATGGCTGCAGTGCTTTACTGGTTCCTGAGAGTCTACACTCTGGCAATTCATGGTTCGCAAAATATAGGCTTCGTCGTGGGCCCTTTACTTAAGCTCCTCCCCATGCTCGAGTACTGTAGTTGCATTAACAACAGTTTTCTATGCAACAGGTCACGCGATCAAACCTTGCTCGTGACTGCTCTTTCTCAGCTGGCATATGTAGATCATAACCCCGAATAAATAAACGTGACATGTCACCAGTTTTCGCCGATCGTACGGTGCAGCTGAATAGTTTTCAGACTTTCACGCCGTTCAGAAATTAATTGAACCTTTGAAAGAGTCGTTTTACAAGAAACTGCTTTCTTTTAATAAGACTGTTAACTGGAACATACGTCTTGCTGTGGAAAGGAACATAATTATCCGAAATGCACATTCGCATATAAACTATTCCACTTCCGCAATATATAACAGTCGGTCCAAATAGGTTTTAAGGGAGACGATAAGGGTTACAACTGCTATCTCTGGGTTAATTTCTGTTTTCAGACAGCTGAAAGCATACATAAAGTCGGAAAGACTTGATAGCTGGCTCAGCTATAGCACTGTCGAGTTGTAAAGAGCCATCCTTACTATCACAAAATCTTGGTATAGGTCTGGAGTTACTAGTCTGCCCCACAACCCCGAATTCGAAGGCGGCTGGACTAACTTAATGGAATCCAGAATGTTGTCATTTTCCTTAGCTTCGTTAGACGGAGAAGACAAAGGGCGTAGCTAGTAAAATTTTCATTCGTAGGCTACCACTGCATTGTGTTTGAATTAACTGCAGATGCCGGTGTGCGCCTACCATTATTGCAAGTTCACCTATGTACCATTTGACACTCAAACCATTTAAACATTTCGACAAGTTTTTCAAGAGCTTCGGTACATACAGAAAAATTACCTTGCCTTATTTAATCTCCGAGGAAATTAATGCGCGAACTTGGAGTAAATTCTTCAGAACAGACCTTTTCAGGCACAGTCCAAATTTTGATATGAATATTTGAGCTGAAATCCATCAGCTACTGCGGAATGACCGCGCAATATTCATAAACGGCCAACAGGCAGCCGATAGTATAGAATTGTGCAATTATTTACCGTACAGACAACACAGGTACAAGTTAAAAGCTCAGACACGCTTGTTTCGTCGATCTTGTTCTGCTACCTGACGAAGGATTTACTCCAAGTGCGCGCATGAATTTCCTCGGAAATTAAACAAGACAAGGTGATACTGGAGTTTATATACTAGAAAACACACGGGGAAGGCTGGAGGACCCACTGATGCGCCAAGCCCCTCGTAGCTGCGTCAGGCAGCGGCAGAAAATTCGGCAAAACACGCGTGTCTGGGCTTTTGGCTTTTACCTCTCTTGTTAGTACGGTAAATAATTACGCAAATATTTCCTCCCAGTTTAAGCTCCATTTACACAAAGGGGCAAGAAATGTGAAATAAAAGTTTGGTCAAATAGGCAAAACGAGACATTACTGCTTTGACAAAAGGAAGATGGGTGTAAATTCACGTTTGATGAGGCCGAAATCCCCAGGAGAGTTGACGACCGAGTGAGCTACGAGTTTCTTTAGTCATGCTTCTTCGGCTCACTGTCAATTAACAAGCGCACTGAGCTCCGCCGTACACATTCTCTGTTCAGACTTTCATATTGACCCGACTGCGGAAAACTCGGCGCCTCCGTGGAATTCGAACCCACGCAATAAGGGCAAGGCTTCAGTACAGCCAACGCTCTAACCACTTGAGATACGAGGCCTCCAGACGTTTCTGGAATCCACCAAATCTCATACAGTAAGTTGACCGCCCAAGCAGGATTTCCTAAGTAATTAATCTAGATCCCACCAGATGATTACCAGGCTCACGTAATTCATAGACGTTTTGGCAGACTTTGAACAGTTCACATTGACCCAACTGTGAAAAACTCGACGCCTCAGTGGAATTCGAACCCACACAATTAAAGGAAGGCTTTAGTACAGCCAACGCTCTAACCACTTGAGCTACGAGCCTTCCACTTACTGCGTGGGTTCGAATCCCACCGAGGCGCCGAGTTTTTCACAGTTGGGTCAAATATGAATTAATCAAAATCTGCCAAAGCAGCTATGTATTCGGACTTTGTCTGCATAGAGTGATTATCCACGCCGGTGAGCTCTAATCCCAGTTGTCAAGAGGGAGACACGATCGCTAGAACAAGAGGTCTGTTCGCCTGACTTCTCGTACTCCCGCTCGAACCCATCATCAGAGACAACAACATATACGAGTAGTTCATGTACAAGGAGCTACAGTATTTTTAGAATGCAGTCGCCATGCTACCGCATACTTATGAAAATTCATGGCTCTCCCCCTCTTCATCAGGGATTGTTACATTTGGTGTGATGGTTTCTCGATGGCGGACATTCTAATCGTTATTCGTTGCATTGTCATCATTTGTTTTGGATGTTGGTGTGATGATTGCTCAACCATCTGGCCACCGAACCTGGAGTTGGGAATAGTGTTTGCCTGTGCGCTCCCGGCGTGGCTAATTGCACTGCCTAGGCGAAGTCTCAGCACCGAGTATGAAAGGGGAGGTCATTGCACTCGTTACTGAAGTGGGGGCCAGTGAACCATGACTAAGAGAGTTCGAGGCTCACGTGATTGTTCCCTCTGGCGAGAATTTCGGCCTCGTCGAATTCGAATGTGCGGCTGGATCTCGTCTAATGAGCCGCAAATTGAGAGTTGACGCCGTTTCTCCGCACTGCTGTCGCGTGTTCGGCCACTCCCTTACGGAGCAGTCCTCCGGTTTCGCTGGCGTAGTTGCTTTTTCTGTAACGCACCAGATCAGGTAAACGACTCCAGCCGTTTCTTGCCTTGCTAGCGGGTCCTTCGGTCTCATGATGGTTGCCTCCGGTCTGTGCACAACTCCAACCTAAATTGGTCCGATAAGGCGGCCAAGGGCTTCCGAAACGTTCTTGACGCACGGAAGCGCTTGCAAAAATTTGGGAATCACGTGATCCTCGAACTCTCTTAGTCATGGTTCACTGGCCCCCACTTCAGTAACGAGTGCAATGACCTCCCCTTTCATACTCGGTGCTGAGACTTCGCCTAGGCAGTGCAATTAGCCACGCCGGGAGCGCACAGGCAAACACTATTCCCAACGCCAGGTTCGGTGGCCAGATGGTTGAGCAATCATCACAACAACATCCAAAACAAATGATGACAATGCAACGAATAACGATTCGAATGTCCACCATCGAGAAACCATCACACCAAATGTAGCAATCCCCGATGAAGAGGGAGAGAGCCATGAATTTTCATAAGTATGCGGTAGCATGGCGACTGCATTCTAAAAATACGGTAGCTCCTTGTGCATGAACTACTCGTATATGTTGTTGTCTCTGATGATGGGTTCGAGCGGGAGTACGAGAAGTCAGGCGAACAGACCTCTTGTTCTAGAGATCGATTGCTTCCATGAACTCGTCTCTTTGCTTCTATTGACTAATCCCAGTGTCGTTGTCGACGCGCCAAGTGGCCGAGTAGTTATCACATCAACAAATAACACGATGGATGAAATTACGACAATTAACGAGTCGGCTGCTGGCAGTCAAGACATTATTATACCAAGTCCATCGTCTGCGGTAGATGCAAGAGACCCTAATTATGATAGGTAGGCAGTGATATAGCAGCTGCATCGTATAAATACTGCAGCACTTGTGCAAACGGTGCTCTTTTCTAGTGCAATTTCTGATGCCGGATTCGAATGTGAATCTGAAAAATCTGGCAGATAGAACCTGTTCCAGCGGTAATGCCTCCCTCTTTCCAACTGTCCCCTCGGTCTCGCACTTTTGTTTGCTTTCAATGGAGGACCGGTATGCTGTCTGCAAAACGTTCGCATCGTTTGGCGAAAGTGCTCTCTAGAAATTTTGGCGACCCATTCCAGCTGCTGCAGCCGGTTACAGTTAGATCCCGGTAAACGGACATCTTACTATTCTATGTTCCCATGTTCTTTATGGCCCATATTTAGCATTTGACGAATTGGCGTTGCAAATTCCCATAACGGAATACCTCAAATATCAAACTAAAATTAGATTAAATTTTGTTTCTTAAGTAACTTGAACTGTCACCGGAAAGTGGTAGAGGCAGCAAATGACTGAATTGTTCTGTCAGCTAAAGTAACCAAAGTTCAGCCTCGAATTTGTCTTTTGACATACCTGGTCAGCTCATACATGCAAGCATAATGAGCTCAGGTGAGGATTCTTATAAGACTTAATGAAATTTCCCCCTGATCTTTGTAGACTCGAACAGTACTGTTCAAGTAGAGGACTTTATCCATTTTAGGGCCCTAAATGACATGTCTTACCAAAGGCCTTTAGTCTTCATGCTCGAGAAACACCATCTCTAGCCCAGTGGATAATAATTAAGAGGAGTTCCACGGGATTAGTCGCCCACAATGATTTACCGACAAGACAACCAAAATGCCAGGAGAGGAGTTTGAATGAAGTGTCTAGACAGGAATTTGCCTGTCTTACGGACGTCGAACACATTCTAGTTGATTACCATTAAATAAGCCAGACTTTCATTGCACGGGTTATCCAGCATTGAAACCAAGTCCAGTTATAGGTCCGAAACAACAACAACAACAACAACAACAACAACAACAACAACAACAACAACAACAACAACAACGCCTCACAATTTAGCGACCATTCCAAGTAGTTGACGAACCTCAAGCTAAAATACAAGTGAATGCACAGAAAAGTGTATTCACACTTAAAAGAATTGATAGGAGAGTTGTTATTTCCGAAGGAAATTATTTTTAAAAGAGTGGACTTATTCTTCTTTTGATATCGTACGACTGATGTTATGACAGATCTAGCAAGTAAATGGCATTTGAAGACGCACAGAGGTCATTTCGTTGCCGCTTACTCTACGACCATTTGGTGTTAGACAAATGAATTTAACGCCTTGCTGTTTCCCCAGTAACTAACTGAGTCATCATTTTTTAGCATCTCCTTTAACGTTTCGGTGGATCGTAAAGGTCAAATCTACCTATTTCCTTTGGCAGTGCTTTTACGCCCAGATTTCCGTCCATAGTATCAACCCTTTCCAGCTAGACCACGGGGTCACGGGGTGATGATTTCCGTTGAATTGGAACGCCTGTTCCGTACCTAAATCACTAATATCTGCTTGTTATACAGTAAAATGGGTATACAAACGCTACTGTAACTGGACTTTAAGTACCGAATACCACAAATAGGCAGGTCGGAAACCCGAGGTAGTACAGTGAGCTTCATGAGTAAAGAGACCAGGGGTTCAAATTTCCGGTCGTCCTGATCCGGACTTGGCCTCGACTGATCCGAGACGACAAACAACCCCAAAAGAGCGCTCTCGTCTCTTTTTATTCTTGTTAGTAGCACTTACGCGCAACTGATTGATCGTCCTGCGATAAGACCAGATCGTTGAACGGTCACTCACACTGAATCCTAATTAGCATCCACTAGAAAGTTAAGAAATAAAGTGCAAACGGTCTCCTTATAGTCTGAAAATTTTCCAACTAGAGTGTCTGGGTCTTTTTCGAAGTTTAATTCATCCAAGTTTCCCCAAAGTTCAATCAAATTTTGGTTCCAGGATGATAACACCCTTCATGGGAGGAAGCTTTAACGTACGGTATGGCGGCCTTTTGAATTTGAGCCACCATTTTTTCTACTATCCAATCACGTGATATTTGTCTTAATTGTACATCAATTGGCTTATTTTAGTCAATGCATCCTGCTTTTTATCCACTTTGTCTGAATTGCAATTATGAAGTCAAATGCACTCTGGAATAGCGTCGTTTCAGAGGAAATGCGATCTAGAGTAAATGTTATGCAGAATTCACCGACGATTGTCAATGATGTCAAGGTCTGCCACATTTGCAACCCTTCGATGCTATTTATTTCACGTAATCATATCTGTCTACAGCAAATGAAAGACGATTTTGCCGAAAATTTCAAAAGATACTTTCGTAATAAAGCGCACCATTCGTACTCGGTCGGGTCCTTAACCCAAATGCACTTAGACCGCTTGTCGTTGTTGTTAAGGCGCTCCAGCAAGTCTTTGCTGTCACATGCAATAAGTGAGTGCGGATCAGTCGACCTATGATTGATTTAACTGGCCGCTCGATCCTATCAAGCATGACATGTGATGCGCAAATACAAGAAATACTACAGCCAGAGTCGTTTCTCGGCACCTCAGGAAGCCCCTTTATGAGAAGGACCAGTGAGCTTGGAGCTGATGGACTTGTATCTCAAGTCTGTTGACTATATAAGGGTTTCTCCAGACCAAGTGGAAGTGTAGGCTTTGACACATTTTGATGCTTGCCTTCTAGGTCGGACTGGTGACACCCTAGAAAGAAAACCTTTTGAGCGAATTACTCTCTCTCTGTCTTTTCGGGAGTTTAGCGGACGATGTTAAGAGATAGCGTTTGCGGTGAGGAAGGATATTTGTTGTTTTCTCTACGTGAGTGGACCTCCTGGACCGGCACAGTAAAACGGTTTGGGTTGGTAACGACGTCAAAGGCTGCACCGACTAGAAATAATTAAATCACAGGATTTCGGTTTGCCTCGCCTTAAATCAACAGAACAGTTCACGGCATGTTAGCCGTCGTAAGTCAAACATATCCGACCCCGAAATACGCAAGCCGCGAGGCTCAAACTCGCGATTTGTTGGTTCAAAGTTCAGCGTCCTAACCACGGGCTCGTTGTCCTACCGGCTTCGATCGGACAGGGGTAGAGGAGTGAACTCCGTAACGCAATCGGTGCGCGCCCCTCTACTATTGTTAATATATCCAACCGCAATCTACAGGACAAGGAGCCCGTGGCTCAGTGGTCAGGCTGTTGGACTTCTAACCAACAGGTCGCGAGTTCGAGCCTCGGGGTCGGGTATGGCTGACTGATGATGAGCCAAAATGGCCATCCCAGTCTATCTTGTCTTCGTTGCTATTGCTATTCCGCCTATGTTACGCGCCGCTGTGCGGTGCTGGCGGGGCTCGCCAGAGAGCCCCAAGACACAACAGGATGAGTGAGTTACGTAACATGATCGATGCGCCCTCTTCTTCCAAAGGGAGAGACGTTCGAATGCCATCTTAACTTTCTCCGAGAATCCACCGCATCAGTTAAAGTGCCAGCTAGCAAAAACCCACTCTCTTTCCTCATAGATGGTTAGCCTGAAGAAACAGAACAGAGACTAAATGACAACCCATGCGTCATGAAAGCGAGTACTCAGGGTCTTTGCAGCAGTGGTGGGACAAAGGAAAAATACAGACCGGCTTTGAAGGAGCAAAAAGAACAGGATAACGAGCGTAAAAGTCTGCGAATGTCTCTGATGATGGATTCGAGTGAGAATCCGAAACGTCAGGCCAATAAATTTCCTGTTCCAGTGATCGCATCTTCATCTTCTGAAGTGTAGAAGTATTTGTGCTAAGATCAATTTCAGTGTATTCAGCGCAAAATACTAGCGGTTTATGACGAATAAGCATATTCTGAGGGATCTGGAAGCACAACACGGTCCATCAAGGCCAGAGTAAATATTCATGGAAGAGCCTCACGTCAGAAAAGGACGGAAATGGCCGCCTTCAGGTAAGTTTGCCAGGGCAGCTAACAGGTTTATGCTCCGTAGGGTAGACCAATAAAGCCAAAGTCGGCGAACGTACACTTCCAACTATTTTCCTAATCAGGCCTGCGCAGTAATATACATAAATTACAATACAGCAGTTATATCTGACAGCGGTAAAATGATGAGAGATAGGACTGAAGATGTGAAGAAACCAGGGGTTAGTATAAGTTGGTTTCGTCAGAGGGATTGGAAAGGGGAATTGGGAATTGGAATCACCAAGTCAAGATGGCGAGTAATCAGGATCTTCACATCTTCACATCTTCATATACCAACTGTACCCTGGCCTTCTCTCCAGTAGGACAGTAAGACTCGAAATGATCTGTCTTCATTTCCTAAAACTTAATACTCTCTGCGGATTCTTTAACCTCTCTGAGTACCACGGAGCGCTGTCATAATCTCCAGAAATAACTGGAATTCGCCAGGTTTCGAAGGTCAGAAGGCAATCAAAAATCTACCAATCTCCCATCATATCAGTCTGAAATCCGTGGCCAGCAAGACGCTGAAAACACTCTTTAACAATCACTTTCGTTTCAAAGTGAAGAAAAAATGGAAACCTTTGCATGGCCAAGTTTTATTCACACCGAGACACTGCACTCATAATCGAATACTGAGACCGTTACAATTCACGCACGAATGAGACTTTGTGCAGATTCGATCACTATGCCAATTCTCATCGCAAATCTCCTTGAGGGAGGTAAGTCCAGATGCGACCAGAGAGAGAGAGAGAGAGAGATCGGGCAAGTCTTCCCCACTGCAATCCTATTAATGCCGAAGTTATCATATGCCGTGCTCTGCTGCCAGTCATCAAGGTTTAGTTTTTCATTCACATGATTTTTCCATCTCCAGCGAAGGGTTGGCCGGAAGCGGTTTTGTGTACTGTCCCTCCTCCAATCCTGAACTACTGCACAAGGCCGCTTGCAATACGGAAATGGTGGTAACAGGAGCCTTTTAGGAGAAGATGCGTGGTGGTCTTAAATATATAAAAGTGAGAAAATCGTACTTAGGCCACATGCACGTTTAGTATATTTAAAAAGACACTTTATAGGAAAATAGTTCAGGGTACACATCTCCATTGCCTACCGAAAGGTTTTCTGACAAACTTTGAACTATCTTATGGAGTAGCCGATTTTTAGTGTGGTATAGATTTCGGCATATACTTGTTTCAGAGCCTTCTATAGGGTTTTGTGCAGATGAGGTCGACATGAATGCTTATAGCAAAGTACCGCTTATTTTTTCGTTGTTTCTTCCAGTTCGGCAGATGGGTCGCTGTATGGATTGCATAGTTCAGACAAGAAAACATTGCTTACAGTTGTCTGATAATCTTATCTTCTCTACCATTATAATTTCGGTTTTTACACATCTAAATGCGCTCACCAGACAAAAACAGTTAAGTGTAGAAGTTGCAGCTACCTTTTACACAGGTCAGCCCATGCAATGAGAGTAGTTATAGCACAACCACATTTAGTCAGAAATGACTCCTTGGGAAATTTCACCTGTATTCATTTAGCCTCATCCGTAAAACATGATGCGATGCCTGTTACACTTCCTGCTTACGCAAACCAGTTAGTTCAGTGGTTATGTAACCAGTTTGCTCAGTAGAGATATGATGGGTATCAGGCGAGTTCACATAGTAACGGCGTCCACCGATCTACACTGGTCACAGGATAGAACGGCCCTCTTCCGTTCTTGGATCCAAGTCGATCAGTGAATATCACTTCTGCGTGAGTTAGCCACATAGCTATCCTAAAAACATGAACAGGAAATTTCCACTGGGCATGAAAATATTCTTGAGTCCCATTGAGAAATTGCCAGAATCCGACCTTTAATGTGTTCATATCTCCACGAGAAAGGGAACTGAGCGATTGGCAGGAGTTTCGACACGAAGGGTCTGCTCCAGCAATCGACTGCGGTTTGCCACGAAGTCGGAGGTTGTCGTGGTTAGGTCCGTCATGTGCACGTGCTATTTCGATCGATAACTGATCCACTGCGAAAATTCAAGAAGAGTACTTCCGCGAATTCAAGGCGAGTGCAGCACTGTGCAAGATAATGGTGTGCAGAGTCCTGTGCGAGGTTAGCAACCTGATAGTCGGAGCGTCGTGCCTCATCGTCTCTTCCCTCCTGCCAAGGTGGAGTTGCGGTGGGCTGTTTGACAGCTGTCAGCGGACACATGGCAGAATCGCTATTCCTATTGGACTCTCTTTCCTCCTTTCGGGCTGTCTTCTTCTTATACCCGCCGTTTTGCATCTCCTCCGCTCCATATTTGGCCTGGGAGCTCAGTTAAACAACACAACGAGCACGTTTCTTATCACCGCGGCGGCTGTAGTTGCCTTCGTCGGACTTGGATTCTACGTTTTTGTCACTCCGGTCGAACTTTCGCTTGTAATTGCCACGATTGGGACGACATTCGCTATCGCCTCCAGTTGGTCTTCCGGCAATGTCTGTCTGGGGATTTGTTAAGGAACTCTGGGTACTATAACTGAATTACAACCTCACCATGCCTCTCAGACTGTCTACTTGTGGAATGCGTCATATTTACTTCACTTGGAACGATGTAGCGACATTCGGTACAGCATATTCGCCTCTTTAAATCAATAAATTCTCATTATTTCGCTCACCAATTCGTTAACTGACAGAATCATTTGAAGGATCGATTAAAATAACTGACAGGAACTCGTATCACTGGAATACCCACCCTATATTGAAGATAAGATATCATTTTAAGAAAGTCCTGCACCAATATATAGGCACCTTCCAAGGAGTGCTTTCGGATTCAGATTGTTATTGGAGAAGTCTGAATGTCATTAGCACTAATCGTTGTCTTGAGTACAACTTTAGAACACGCGTCGTTGGCTGGCAAAGAAGCCATCGGACTCGTATGTTTGTTTTGCACTTGATGAACTTGGCTAAATATCCCTTCTGGGCTGTACACCATTCGTATTACAGTACTTTTTAATTCTAAGTGACAGCGAATGGCATTTTTCACGGGTACACTGGAATGGATTCGGATTAATAGGAACACGCTGAGACCAACTATTTTACCCGATTAAGAATTTGTCCCAGGTATTCAAAGTACCCCTAAGAACGTTAAACTCATTCTTCCTTACCAAGTCGGTAGCCAAATTTCGAGAAGGTATAAATAGTTGTGTATTTATTTACCATACTGACAACACAGGTACTAGTTAAAAACCCAGACACGACTGTTTTGTCGATCTTTTGCCGCTGCCGGACGCAGTTTCGAGGAGTTCGGCTCATCACTGGGTCACCCCAACCTTCTCCATGTGTTTTTTGGTATATGAACAAGATCAGCGAAATGCGTGTGTCTGGGCCTCTAGCTAATACCTGTTTGTCAGTATGGTAAGCAATTACAAAATTGTACTGTAGGCAATCTAATTCAGGAAAGTTGTAGAAATTTACGAATGATTGCCAATCGCTTGCAAACAGACACAAATGCATGAATCCAATGACCATGTTAATTAAATACAACTTTTAATGAATTGAATACAAAATAAATATTAAAGGTAGTGCTGCGTCGTTTCAAAATACCGACTTTAAAAAGGCGCAAAATCCTAAAAATATCAAACATGACTGTAGTTTAGTAAAGTTCGTTTCTAGATGTACGGGATGTCATATCATTCAACAGAATGAGTAAATATGAATTAATGTAAGTGAGTGTTGATGTTATTAATGTAATTTCAGGTATGGCGGTTTGCCAACAGTCTACTGTCTGGGTATAGATTCCAAGGCAATTTTCTGATGATTAATGGTATTCTTGAGTTGTTCGAGTTGATTGAGATGCGGTTCAGCAAGTGAAACAGGACTTTGCTTGATTTTACCGATGGAGACGTCGTAGAAACAAAAGTTTTCATAAGGTCAGGCCTATCGTTGACTAATAAATATAAATAGGATGCTGGCTGCCTGTTGGCGGTTTGTGAGCATTATACGGTTATTCTGCAGTAGTTGATGGATTTCAGCTCAAATATTCATACCAACTTTCGGACCATGCCTGAAAAGGTCCGTTTCAAAGAATTCACTCCTAGTTCGCGCATTAACTTTTCCGGAAATTAAACAAGACAAGCAAATAACGACTTATAACCTGTAGGTGAACAATTTCGCTGTAGACATGAAGTTCGTGGAGATTTACGTTAAAACAGTCGTGTTCAGAGTAAGTGTGGACTAGCCAAGCAAACGGTGCATTACGTATAGCTTCGGGGAAATTTATCAAGTGAAACTCGGAGTTCTTTATAGACCTCCGTAGAACAAACTCTCCTCATACATCTAATTACCACTAAAAATTGCATGCGTCGCCATCTTGCATTAAATGGCATCATATTTTAGCTTTAGAAGACACCAAACTATTAGTACAGGTACTAGCTAAAAGCCCGAGAAAATTGAAAAGCAACAAGAGCACCATAGCTCAGTAGCAACTTTTCCGGCCAGTCATCTGCCTCCTTCGGGTGCACCGTTCTCACCACTGCCCTAATTGGTTGGTCTCTGGGTACTACTCCAGTGTCCCCCACTGTCGTAAAGTTCAGTCCGACCCGTGGGACTATTTAAATGCTCCAGTATCAGGCTTTTGGTAGGCCCTTTGCTGTAATATGGTAATTTTGCCGAAGAGGGCAAAGCAGCGACGTCGGAGGAACTGAAAGACAGCTCCGGACACGAGTCACAGACCACGCGGCTGCAGTGCGGAGCAATGATGACAACTCCCAAGTCGTGGCACATTCTTGAGCCATGGTCTACGGGGTCTTAGTCTATTAACATGTGCATTGACCTCAGTCCATATTCGGTGCTGAGGCTTAGTTTGGCCAAAGTAAGTAGCCACTCAGGGAACGCGCACGCCGGTGAGCCATGTGGCCGAGCCATCATTACACCAGCATCCAACACGATTTATTGAATTTCAATAATTAGCGACTTGCATGCCGGTCATCAAACAGTTAGCACATCAGAGGACAACCATCCTCGATGAAAGGGGAAGCCGTCAGCTGTCATAGGTATGCAGTGGCGTATCGACTGGAACTTCCTGTTTATGAATTACCCGTACCTGATACTGCCTTTAATGATGGGTTCGAGCGTGAGTCCGAAGCGTCAGCCGAGGAAAGTTCTTGTTTCCTCCGTCCGACCAAGTTCACTAAAAGTAATGTGCTACCGGGTAACAAAGAGAGGAGTCACCTTGATTTAAGGCAGCGTCATTCTAGTAATATTACAAAAATAGCAATAACTCCCAATGAATTTACACCTGAGAAGGCAACGGGACCTCGGGACCTCGCTTCTCTTCCTTTTCAGCCAAGATCATGCAATTAACCTAGTTCCCTTTCTTACATCTTCGAATGTAAACAAGCTCCCATCGCGGAGGACGCGTGAGATATGGCTTCACATTATTTAACGATGCGATTACGAGATAATCTCGTTTGAGCAGCAATTAAACTTATAGAGACACCTAGTACAAGGGCGGCAGATATGAACACTTGATAAATGCCATTCAAATTAAGAACTCGAAACGATATTATTTTCCGGTGTTCCTAATACTACGTTAGAACATTGAATTCTTTCCACTCCCAGTATTTAATGTAGAAGTTCATTAGCGAATGCATTCTTAATTTCACCCTTTTGCTTTTTGAAGGACTTTTATGGGCTTATTAACCAATAAATGTTTGTATACTTGATCATACCATTCATATTCCGTCCCCAGTCACCAACCTAACTTATTATTTTCTAGTCTGCAGCATCTTTCGACGACAACGATCACTGGTCAGTCTCTTTATTCACTTCCCCTTTGTCGTCTGGGAATTTGTCCGGGTGGACACGATGTCTGTCACCTGTCTGTCACCCCCTTCTTGCCCGCTTTCTCAAGCGTCTGAAATTTAAAGCATAAGTCATAGTGATCGGAATGCATGTTTTTATTATTATTATTCTTCTTATTATTATTTTTTGAAGCTCTCCGCTGTACCACGCTCTTTAGGAAGGCAATTTTGCCGAGAAGTCTTTCACATCAAACGAGAAGCTTGCCCCCCTGTCCTCATACGGGGTCTTTGGTTTAGAGTCTAGAGGTGTAGAGGTGTCCAGTTAGGGGCACTCGTGCACGAGTGGTAGGTCACACTATGCAAATGGTGACCACTTCCCACGATTCCTGACTGGCACCAAACCCCAATTAGTGGGTCCCCGAAGTTTGGCTCTACCTAGCGACCGCACTCCCCTGACCGCTTCGACCGCCTAGCTAAACCAGATAAGGGAAACCGGCCAATGTCAACTCGACCCACTCTCCACTAAACAAAACCTTGGTACTTAGAGGAGTTTGGCAGACGTCTGGGGTGTCCAAGCAGCCGTAATTAGCGATAGCGCTGCTTATCCCCTCGTGCAAAACGCGTTAAAAACGTGTCCTGAACAAACGGTGGGAAATCACGCCATATGCTAGCATACCGGCCGTGTAGACTCAAGACTCTCGGTCGAAAAACAGCTAAGAAAAACAAACACCCTCGTCCGCCTACCCTTCCACTCCACTCCACGGGCTTCTACGGTAAGTTCGCCCACTTTGGCAGTCTGGAATATTCGTGCTGCTTTAGAAAAACCGCTGATAAGCCGACCGGAAAGGAAGAGGACGTTAGCCACTCGAGAACTGGCGCGCAAAAAAGTGGCTGTCGCTCCTCTCAGAGAGATCCGTTTCTCCGAACGATGCCAAATGAAGGAGCTGGGTGCCGGCCACACCTTCTGGAGCGGTTGCTCAACGGTAGAACGAAGTGACGCAGGCATTGCCTTTGCTATCCGAAACGACATCATGGAACGCCTACTCTGTCTGCCGTAGGACGTCAGCGACCACCCCATGGGCCTGCTCTTGCCTCTCGCCGGAGATAAATTCTCCAGCACCATCAGCGCCCACGCCTCCAATGACCAGCTCTGACGAGGCGAAGAAATGCACTCTACCTGGCGTCTGCGGCGAAGGCAGACAAGCTGGTTGTCCTTGGTGGCATCAACGCTGCCTGGATTGGCGTGCTAGGTCCCCATGGGCTCAGCGGCCGCAACGACAACGACTTTATTCTTCTGCGATCTTACGCAGAACACCGCCTCCTCCTGGCCAACACCTTCTTTCGCCTTCCTAAACGCAAGAAGGCAACCTGGATGGCCCTTCTATCATGGCGCCGGCAGCTTCATGACTATGTTCTCGTCCAGAGGTGAGATTTATAGGATGTGCCGGTGACCAAGGCTATCTGCGATGCCGACGGCTGGACGGTCGGACCCTTATCTTGGAAATTAAAATCTCGCAGAAGACCACAAGATAAGCGACCACCAGGAAAGTTAAATGCTGTTGTGATTTCAGTAATCGGTTGCCCAAAGAACTGGAAGATATGCCGGCCTCAAGCGAAAACGCCTCCGTGGAGACGCAGTGGTCCAAACTACGGGACGACGTCCACTTCAACGTTCTGGGTGTTTTCGGGCGCACATTTCGCCAACATCAGGGCTGGTCCGACAACAACTACGCACACATCCGCAATCTGCTCGCCAAAAGCACCGGCTGTGCAAAGCCTACACTGATTATCGAACCGACGCAAACAAAGCGGCCCTCTTCCATTATTGCCGCCCTGTGCAACAACGATTGCGAGAGATGCACGACGCTTCGATGGTTTACAAGGAATCCAGGGGCATGTTGACCGCAATGGAAAAAAAAGAACCATTTAGCAGCAATCAAGACAGTCTATGGCCCCACAGTCAATGAAACCGCGCCGCTTTTCGGCTCCGACAGAGCAACACTCCTGACGGAGAAATCTTAAATGCTGGAGTGCTGGGCCGAGCACTTCAGCAGAGTCTTCTATCGTTCACCCAGAATTTCCGACGCCACTGTCAACTACCTCCTCTCCAATCAGAAACGAATGACGACCTCGATCTGCCGCCTTCTCACCTGGGAGCCATTCGAGGCTAGCACCAGCTCTCCAGCAAGAAAACACTGAGATCTGACGCGATTCCGACTGAAGTAAACAGGCACGGCGGCTCCTAGCAGATGGATCACCTCAGAACGTTATCCCCAAAGATGTGGTGCCCAGGACGAGTTTACAGGATTTGAAGGAGGAGACAAGCGGAAGGGAAAGCGTCAACTGTGTGATAACTCCAGAGGATCTTGCTGCTCAAAATCGTCGGGCTGATCTTCGGTCGCATCCTTCTCAGCCGTCTCAACGACCATCCCGAACAGGGGCTTGTATTGGGAAATCGCTGTGGCTTCCGACGAAACCTCGAAACCACCGACGTGATCTTCGACGCCGGTGCCAGCTGCGAGAGATGTGTCAGGAAGTGCAGACCCATCTCTACACTACATTTGTGATCTTGACGAGAGCATAAGACACGGTGAATCGCGGTGGACTGTGGAAAACCATGCAGAAATTTGGCTGTCCTGAACATTTCACGCACATGGTGCTTCACCTCCAAGACAAAATGATGGCACGCGTCACGGACAACGAAACCCTCGCAAAAGCATTTTTAGTAACCAACCGGGTGAAGCAGGGCTGCATGTTCGCTCCCAATATCTTCAGCATCATTATTCCTGACACGATGATTGATGTCTACCTTGACCAGCGCCCCGGCATCCGCATCGCCTACAGGACCGACAACCATCTCCTCAAAAGTCGGCGCACGGAGGCGTCAACGCGTCTGCTCACGATTAATGTCCACGACCTGCTCTTCGCTGACGACTGCAAGTTCAGCATCTTGGTAGACGTAGACGTGCAACGGGGTGTGGACCTCGTCGCCGCCGGCTGCGCCGACTTCTGGCTGGCTATGAACACGGGAAAAACGGTGGTTTTGCGTCAACCGCCAACCAATGTTGCACATAGGGCTCCAGACATGAACGTCAACGGCACCCACCTGATAACCGCGGGCAACTTCGCCTGTTGTGGCAGTGCACTCTCACGCCGAATCAAAATCGACGACGAAGTGGATCACCGGATCTCCAAAGCCTGCCAAGTCGTTGGCCAGTTGCGGGACTCTGTATGGAATCGCCACGGTCTCCATCAGAAGACAAATGCAAGATGTGCGAATCCATCATCTTGAGGACGCTGCTGTATGGTGTGGAGACCTGGACGGTCTGCAAGCGCGGAAACTCGATCACTTCCTCCTCAGATTTCTCCGACGGATACTAAGGCTGGGGTACACTACAGGATCCCGCACACGGCGGTCTTGGGCGGCACCGGAAACGTCCGCATCCACGTCATGCTGGGACGGCTGCAACTATGCTGGAGCGGCCATCTCGTGAGGATGTCCGACGAGCGCCAACCAAAACAAGTCTTCTATGGAGATGCCGCCATTGGTGACCGTCGAAAAGCAGTCCAAACCCGCCGGTACAAGGATACCCCGAAGAATTCCTTGAAGCGGCTACAAATAAATCCTAATACTTGGGAAGACCTCACGCGGAACCAGCTGGCCTGGAGGAGAGCAGTAAAGACTGGATCGGTCAAATACAAAGCCAACCGGATCGCTGCTGCCAATGACAAAAGGGAATCTCGCAAGTGCCAGACGTCCCTGATCCGCAACGCCAACACCCAAGCCCTCCTTATATGCCCGCGCTGTCTGCGAACATTCTGGGCGCGGATTGGCCTCGCTAGACATATCCGGCGCTCACCCTCACCACCGATGCTCAGAATTATCGTCGCCGTCGGTCATCGCTATGTCCATCATCTCTGTCACAAACTCCGCGGCGACGATGACGACGGCCACCGCAGCTCCCACTCTCGCCGTCGACCAAGACGATCCCCAAGGCCTGTAGCGGGCAGCCATAATGACCGGTCTGGCGTCATTGTTCAAGACCTCGCTGCCTCAAGGTCATTCACCCATTGGCAGTGCGCCGTTCCAGACGCGATGACCTGAAGTCCCACGACAGACAGCTTGGTCATACCTGCGCCCGCACAGCCGCAGTTACCCATGCGCCACTTGAACGGCTCGCTGCGAGGGGTGAGTGACCTTGAGGCAGCGAGGTCTTGAACAATGACGCCAGACCGGTCATTATGGTTGCCCACTACAGGCCCACCAACCACCACCCACGCCTCCTGCGATGTGGACTTCGTCCTAACTCGTCCTCGTTTCCATCGCACATGCACCTCACGCATCGGCCTGGTCAGTCACTTGCGAATCCGTCGCACAGCGACTGGCGCACCAGTGTCAGGAGCTCCAGATACATTCACCGCATTCGTCTTCACTTTCCACGCTCTCCACTCACATTCACTCGCCGCATGGGCCTATTCGGTCGCATACGCATTCACAAAAACCTGCGGCGTATTACCGCAGAGACGACCATGCCACGATATGTCTTCCCATGAACACATGCAGCACACGACAGTTCGACCGTCGATTTCGACGATGTCCACCGTGTGCCCCACAGCAGGTGGGAGCAGGGACGGTGACTTGCGCAGGGGTTTATAGTGCCAGTAGACTTGCGCTGCATCTACCTACACTCTCTCCTCCTCCCCCGCCTGGGCCCGGTGTCAAGACAGAGTCAAGAAGACCGGAGACGAGGGAGGCCGCNATTGGACGAGGAGGTACCTAGAGCGTGTTGGGGCTCCAACTCCATCCTGAGAAAAAGAGTTCTAAGTAGGGAAGGGGGCTGATCAAGCACAGAAATCATTTGAGAAGATAATCAACCATCCCCTGACAAAGCCTGAACAAGCGTTGTCATGGGCGGAGAGGGTTACGGCAAGAGGGACAAGATTCCTCTTGATGACAAAAAAGGATACAGACCACAGAGACGAAAGCAGCGGCAAGTCAAATGAAAGCAACGGGCTGATTCTATGGTCCAGCAAAAACTCGTAAACCAACTTTCATTACGGCCGCAAAGACAGTCGGAGTGGATGTGCTCTAAAATGGACTTTCTGCAAGGTAATTCGAACATCTCCGTCCAAAAAATCTCACTCTTCCTTTAGACATTCGGGGTTGGAGGATCCGGTCAGACAAAGTCAGGACCTATGCCAATGCGGCGTCTCGATTCACATCCATCCTACCAGATGTGGTGCACCAACTACTGTGCAACAATTGAAAGAAGCAAAGTTGAGAGTCAACTCAAATTTAGACACCTCATCAGTCGATTCGAACTATGCAAGAAAGCATACTTTAATTTTGTTAGATAAACTTATAAGTGAGTGAGGGAACTTAAGTGGATTCCCCAGTCTACGACTTAGTGGTAGAACTGGGGCTAGATCGCAGTTGGTGGCCATGCCCCGTATTACAGGCGGCGGGGGGGAGGGGTGTTTGTTTACTGGGGCTATTGTGTGGGGCTCCATAATCACATCTGACCCATTTGGCTTCAGTTTTACGTTTGAGGTTAGGATTAGGGTACCGGTTAATGGTTTCTGATTTTCGGGTTAGGGTTATGCCTTTAGGCTTAGGCTTTCGGGTTACGGTTAGGGTTTGAGCGTACGAATACGTTTCAGTATTATTATTATTAGGTCTTTCAGTTACGAGTATGTCTAAGGGCTACGGTTACGTTTACGATTTCCGTTAGGGTTAGGGTTGCCGTTAGGGTTGACGGTCAACGTTTAAGGTTGAGGTTAGGGTTAGAGTTAAGGTTAGGATTAGAGTTAAGTTCGTCGTCGGCTTCCCCATTCCTGGCTACCAACTGCGATCTAGCCAGAAGTGGTTCTCTAGGAGTTAGATAAAACCGCTGTCGGTCAGTTTATGCCGGCCTATTATCTCCGTTAAAGATAAGACGCCTCTGTCACCACAGGGAACATCTTGCGAAATTTGCATAACCGGCTCTTCCTGGATTTATAGTCCACGGGGGAAGAGGGAAAGAGCAACTACTATCCCTTCTTGGTGTACTCGTCAGGCGAGGTCCTAACGGCGAAGGTAGGAACAATGAGCACCACACAACCTCCCAGATTTTACAGTAACCACCTGGTGGCCCGCAAACTAAGCTGTTTAAAAAAGCTCTTCAAATGCATTCGGAATCAATGCAGCAACTCAGAGGACGAAGCACGCGCGGATCGATATACCTGCGAGCAGTTTGCGTGGACTGACTGTCCAAAGGCATTTGTAGACTGATGCCTACGTCGTCGCCCCCATGCCCCCAAACAGAAACTCCACCGACGATATGCCACTCCTTGTCATGTCTAAAAGACGTCTCAGAGGCGCCCGAGTACATTTATGTGGAAGTAGTCGCTGGAGTTCCACACCGGTCCGAAGTTACCACGCTCAGCCGGCATCACTACGATCAAGAACCGATCAAACCCAGCAATCGGCTCGGCGTAGTGTATCTTATCCCACGTCCGGGTCGTCCTAATGACCACACAGGTCACATAAAAGTAAGGTTAGATCGCGCATACACGAACACAAACTGGCTGTGCAACGGGGTGACCAATCATTACGAATGGCCGCCAACACCTTCAAGACCGGTTACGAGGTCAGTTTCGCAGCTGCCGAGACAACTGTTGGAGCCACGAGCAAAACGAGCTGGGATTTGATTAAATGCTGGCTTCTGGAGGGAACGCAGCTGACCGGTGCAGGCGCCATTTGCCCTGTTGCTGCTGCTGTCATCTCTGACGATGGACTCGTTTCCAAGTTAGAAGGCTCAAATAAAAAAAACTAACCATCTCAGTGCACCATCAGTTTCTTTCATTACTCGGCATATTCCTGGAACTAGAATATTCACCTCTATACGCCGAAAATCACAGTCATAGTCAACGAATGCTGAAACTGTCGCCAACTTTGAAAATCGAAATGACGTCTTGCTATGTACCAATGCCGAACAGGGCAGAAAAAGGAGAGTTTTGATATTTCCCAGCGACACCTTACTTGATGCAACAGACCTTCCTTCGGAACACATACCGGAATGAATGAGAGGCAGTGAGCATCTCGACATGAAAGAGAACACCGGTCTGAGCTAATCACCCCACTGACAGCATGCAGAGCTGGTAGTATTTGTATATAGAGGCCATTCAGCAGCGTTGGAACTATACCGATACCTCATGAACTTTTTGATTTCATCAGAAATCAGTGTTCAAATCTTGAGAAAAACCTTCGTAGTAAGTCTTCTTAAGCTCAGCCCGAAAGTTTTCCAAGGATCAGCTCCGTGAAAGCACAGTAACTCCCTTGGGAACCGAGCACGACAGCATGGAAATTGAAGTTTATGTGCCAGAAAGCACATAGGTACGATGGGGGGGGGGGGACCCCTGGTGAGTCGAACCCCTCGCAGATGCGTAATTTAATTGCTGAATATTGGCGAAACACTTGTCTGGACCTCCAGCTAATGTCTGTGCTGTTAGTATGGTAAATCATTCAGTGGTTGATGTAAATATTTGGACGAAACTTAATCAGCTTTGTGAAATAACCGCGTAATACGCGTGAGCTGTCCACAGACAGTCATTAGTGCACAAATACTGCATGACTCACCCTAGTGACGACATTTGCTGTCCGTTGGCCGTTGGTGAATATTTCATTTACACATAAAAATATTGTATTGGATGCACACCTGCTAGCGACATCAGTTGCCGGATGACGGACCTCCGCTGATTTAAAACATCAACCAGATTAGCATGTGCCAATGTCAATGTTTACGCCCACACATTCAGTCCCGAGAATGACTGACTGAATCGCGGGACTAATAATGGAACCTCGGTTTTACAGGACTTTCGACTTTTAGGTTTGACCTCATCTGTTAATCACATGCGCTGTGTTTACCCGCATGCCCTCCAAACGGGCCACGTGTTAGATGCGCTGGACCAACACGGGGGCCACACCGGACTCTGGCAGGCGTTATCTTTGCGTAATAACAAATGCCAACATTTGCGGGGTGCGCTGGCGGACCCTGTTGTCGGCATTCGTCGCACAACTGGACCACTGCCTCCACCCAATTGTTTTCTGGTCAAAATCCTGGTCTTGGTGTGTGGACCAGGGGTGCGGAGTGGAGCGCCAAGGCGAAGACCCGTCCAAGCCATCCACCTGCGGCCTCCCCCGTCTCCGGTCTTCTTGACTCTGTCTTGACACCGGGCCCAGGCGGGGGAGGAGGAGAGAGTGTAGGTAGATGCTACGCAAGTCTACTGGCACTATAAACCCCTGCGTAAGTCACCGTCCCTGCTCCCACAATGCAGTCTGTGGGGCACACGGTGGTCATCGTCGAAATCGACGGACGAACTGTCGTTTACCCGCATCGGTTTAGTGTCCAGTCGGTGGCATGAATAGCAGAAAGAGAACACCGAATACGCCTGATGCAGTTACTAGTTTCTACGGCTCACCACCGTTATTCAGTCCCTGGCCGGTCCATAGTGGTCGTCTCCCAAAAGGGTGCCAATCTCAGTGCGAGGATTGCTATTTCTAACTAAGAGCTATGATAGAAGACAGTGTGTCCGAAAGTGGTATTTGCCAAATAAATGCTATAGCATTAGTCTCCAAACATTCGAAACGAAAAGGAGTCAGTCTATCTTTGAGAAGCCTCTGTTTAGGAAAAACAAGGGCTCGTGGTATCGCTCAGCCCAAATAGGAATTTTTCGCCTGTCTTCCGGCCATTGTGTTTAGATGCTCTTTCTTTAAATGCTCAACTATCTCGAAATAAATTCGTTTTACCAGCATTTACAGTCAGTGATTAAGTCAGTTATTAGTATAATATGAACACCGAAAGTCACAGGAGACTATTGCAAGAAGCAGGGCGAAGCAGCTCGTTCAGACCAAGTGAATATGTAGCAGTCGCTCCAGTCCCCCCTTTTTCTCCGGCTCCGTTTTGTCGGTCGATGGCCGCGACAATCGTTGCCAGGCCGCTGACACAATAGACAGGATCGGGTCCAACGCCGTACATCCCGGTTGATGTTGGGCCAGACGAATCGGTCAGTGATGAGTTTCACTGTCGCCCGGACTCCAGGGTGGGATAGATTGTGAAGAGCGTTGAACATTCGTCGTCGTAAAGTTGCTGGAACAAAAGGACGTTCGTGTTCGGTAAAAAGGTCGCACGTTATGGTGCCAGTGCCAGTGGGAAGGGGGACATCTTGAAGGCGTTAAGAAGAGTCCTCGTGGCGGTATTGGGGGAGTTCGCCATCCGATCGTTGAGCCTCAGCCATGAGCGTGAAGTCTATGGCGTCTGCTATGACGGAAGCCATCTCGATTCTTGAAAGAGCATCAGCAACCACATTTTCCTTACCGTGGACATGTTGGATGCCGCAGGAAAACTGTGAGATGAAGTCTAGATGACGAATTTCACGGGGCGAGTATCGATCGGGAGAGGCCCTCAGTGCAAAAACGAGTGGCTTGTGATCTGTTAGAACAACAAATTCACGACCATCGAGGAAATGGCGGAAGTGCCGGATGGATAGATAGACAGCGAGGAGTTCTCGGCTGAAGACACTGTAGCGAGTCTCTGCTGGGTTGAGCTTCTTCGAGAAGAAAGCCAGAGGCTCTAGAACACCACTAACAGTTTGCTGAAGTGACGCACCAACGGCAGTGCTGGAAGCATCTGCCATGAGAGTTAGCTGAGCATCTGAGCGAGGATAGGCACGCAATGTTGCGCAGGCAAGTGCGGCCTTGACGTCATTGAAGGACCTGACGGCCTCCTCGGTCATCACTAGTGTCTTCTTGGAGTGGATCAACAGGCTGTTGAGAGGCTGCAGTATAGTGGCACCATGGGGAAGAAAACGGTGATAGTAGTTCACCATCCCCAAGAATCGGCGTAGTTGGTTGTGTGTCAGCGGCCTGGCAACGATTGTCGCGGCCATCGACCGACAAAACGGAGCCGGAAAAAAAGGGTGACTGGAGCGGCTGCTACAAATATCACCGCAATTTCTTCTGTGAACCATCTGCGCAGTTAACGTACTCACATTTGTCTTCTCAACTACTGGAATTAGCTTTAAGTGTGCCCGGCAGAATGGCAACGTAGAGAACCTGGGTGCAGTTTCGGTCTCAGTCCTGGGTTTCTTTGCCGGCCTGCCTCTCTTACTGTTTGCTTGGTCGCTTTTCAGCCAATAAGGTGACCGCTTTTCCGTAATCTTCGCCGCCGCTTTCGGAGTTGTTTTTCTCGGGGAGGGGGGGGGGGGCAGATACATTGGTGCGCGTGTACAATTAAGCTCCAGGTTATTGGGAGGCGGCTGTCCATGTAAATTGTTTACGATCTTACCGCAGAAATTCGGATGCTGGATTTTCACAGTGTTTGGTATATCTTTTGCTGATTATCTAATGCCAGAGGTTTCTCGGAGAAAAGACCGCTAAAAATGGTTTGGTGGTCGTTTTGTAGGAACCCAAACCATGCTGAAGGACAGCAGCCTACACCAGGCCCAGCCTTGACTGGCCTGTGACAAAGATTAATATAGAGAGACCCCTACACCATGCATCAGCGCATGGTCTACGTTTATGATTTGAATGAGATATAGGGCCAAGTGATTTAGTTCACCGCCCCCTGTTTATGTGATATGAATTTGTAAACCCGGGTTGGAGGGGAAAACCTTCGTAATGAAAAAAACGAAGATCTACTGTGATGAAGAGATAAATGTGAGACATTCCCTTGCACCTACCTTCATCAAATCCCTTCATATTTGTGTATTTTGACAGGCTGTTCTTGATTTCCATCTTTCATACCATGCACCCTACTCTTGTACGTACGTAGTGATTTTGACAAAGATCCAACAAAACTGCAACCTGCATTAATTGTCATATTTCTGTTGAATTCCAGTACGAAGTTTGTTCAAAAGATACTGTTTAAGTCTCTGAGACTACCCGATGGATGAAAATCAGTGATTTCGTACTGAGGCTAGTCAGCAGCCGCGACCGATAAGTTAAAGTTTATGCGTGCTAACAACTGATTCAGGGCATGATAAATCTATTTTGCCCTCCTAACCAAAGATTGAGGTTTAAGCTTCCCATGCAGTTAGGAGACTCCACTGACTACCTTCATTGCACTTGAGCTTCAAAGTTCCAACATCTAGTCCAAATTAGACACATACATACTCGTTATTTGGTACCTTGAATTCCGGTTAATCGAACTTCTGGTTAGTTAGCTTAGCCGCTCATTCTGAATAAATCATAGAGAACAGAAACGCCTCGTACATATTACGGCCGCTTACAAGGATCATCACCCCACCTATTTTCACTAGTGACTGTTTGAAATTGAAAGCTTGGCAGACGAGACTAAAAAGGTGGCCTCCATTTCGGATATGCAAGGGGGCAGCTTGCTGGTCTGAAGTTTACTTGCAGTCTCTGATGATGAATTCCAGTTCGAGTTCGAAAGCCAAGGCCAATAAATCTACCGTCCCAGTGATCGAGCCTTCGTCTTCTTTTAAGCTTGTGTAAGTGCTTCGGGTAAGTAGGTAAGCGGTGCGGCAAGGCATGGGATTAATCAAACCCATCAGGAAGATAGAGATGTTGGTGATTTCTGTAATCCGGAAGGCAACCTGACGACGTAGGACAGCTGGAGCAGCGGCGTTCTTCGCGCTGGCGAAACCTGAAGGGTGGAGAAGAGCGAAGGCCACAGCTTGGCACTTATCGGCAAGTTGATGTTCACTGACTGACGCAATTTAACATCGGTCATTCGAGTCGCTTGTTCATGTCACATGTCGACATCTAACCAAGATGTCAGGAAACATGTAACAGTGGTCGGGAAAATTTTCTACTGGACAGAATAAGAAACCAACAGCCCAGTACCAGCCATCGTTAGCTGGCAGAGAAGACAGGTTTCCCAATGTTTACATGCACATACGGTAGGTGGGCTAACTCATGAAATGTCAAATGAAATTCCGAAATGTGTTTTCATTTCGAAAAGATTAATTAAGTAGGGTTGTAAAAGTAATCCGCTTGCAGCATAATTCTATAATAATTCAGTTACCTCTGGATGCCGGCTTTTGAACCAACTTCTTTCCCGCTGCATGCAAAAGCTATACTCTGTAAAAAAGGATTACTTAAGTAGCATACATTCTTCCCTTTGATTTTCGATGCCCCTAAAAGTCCAATTATATTTCATGGAAAACATGCACTAAAATAATAATTCTTTCGCTCATTCGGTAGAACATTACGTCTTGCAATTTTATACTCGAAGGAAGGGTATAATTTGGTTTTAAAAAAGCTTCCAATTGTGAGACTTTTTAATACTGTTAAATGGCCGTTCATAAAACGTCATGTCTCTGCATTTACCAATGTGGCTTGTAAAGTTAACAATATGGATCAAATCCAATGCTAAATTTTATGAATCCCATATGGTATCCTCTTAATGCCGTTAAGAAATGTGTGGTTTTCCGTACGCGGAAAATACATGGCTTGTTGGAAACTCTGAATGCAAGTGTGTCGGCAGAGTGGGTTCAAAATTATTCGGGGATTAGAAAAGTTTTTGAAAACCGATCAATGCCCTTCTTTCAAGTATAAAATTGGAAGAAGACATAATTTTCTACCGAATGAGCGGGAGAATGAATATTGTTATGCATAGTTTCCATGAGATATAGTCGGAATTTCAGAGGCATATAAAATAACTGAGAAAAATGAATGCTACTTCAGTAGTCATTTTTTACAGAATATAGTTTTTATATGCGGCCGGAAGGAAGTGCTTTCGAAATCCGGCATCCTAAGGTATTAAAACGTCTCACAATTGGAAACTTTTTTAAAACCAAATTTTACCCTTCCTTCGAGTATAAGATTGCAAGACGTAATGTTCTACTGAATGAGCGAAAGAATTAATATTTTTGTGCATGTTTTCCATGAAATATAATTGGACTTTCAGGGGCATCCAAAATCAATTGGAAAAATGCATGCTACTTAAGTAATCCTTTTTTACAGAGTATAGCTTTTGCATGCAGCGGGAAAGAAGTTGGTTCAAAAGCCGGCATCCAGAGGTAACTGAATTATTATAGAATTATGCTGCAAGCGGATTACTTTTACAACCCTACTTAATTAATCTTTTCGAAATGAAAACACATTTCGGAATTTCATTTGACATTTCATGAGTTAGCCCACCTACTGTATGTGGTAGGACAACATGTGCCCCAGAAACGGGCCACCTGGTAGATACGCTAAACCAACACGGAGGCCACAGGCGTTATCTTGTGCAACAACAAATGCCAACATTTAGGGGGTGCACTGGCAGACCCTGTTGTCGGCAGTCGACGCGCAAACTGGAACGACTGCCACCACCCCGCATTGTTTTGTCGGTCAAAATCCTGGTCATTTTTTGTGTGGACTATGGGGTGTGGAGTGGAGCGCCAAGGTGTCGATCCGTCCAAGTCATCCACCTGCGGCCTCCCTCATCTCCGGTCTTCCTGACTCTGTCTTGAAACCCGCACCCAGGCTGGGTAGGAGAGAGTGTGGTAGATGCATCGCAAGTCTACTCGCACTATAAACCCCCGCGTAAGTCACCGTCCCTGCTCCAACCCTGTTGTGGGTCATACGGTGAACATCGTTAAAACCGACGGTCGAACTATCGGTAGGACGGCAAGAAAAGTGCGAGGAAATAGACACTGCCTGACTGACCTCGGGGACGACCCTAGAAACGTCAACGCGAAAGGAAAGGCACAGACACTGATGGACCCCTTGGTCGGTGGTTATGTACTATAACTCCGGATAATTGGGCCATACACTTGATGGATGCTAAACGGTTGGACCCATTATGAACCAACTAGCCCGTGTGCATTACGTCTATCCGATAAGAATGTTCTTCCTGATGAAGAAGTATGGGGCTTACTAGTGATCGGAAATGACCGCGAAAAAACCCCAGAAATGGTCCTGTCCATTATGCACTGGGTGACGCAAAGCTTATATTGGCGGGCAGCTGTATGAGACATATCGTTGGCATGAGCTACGCCGAACTATAACCAACGTCAAATTATGTTTCTCAAACACGGGTTGACGGTAATGAGAAGTATTAAGAAAATGCTTGATAACGACCGATGACAATGCAGAGGCAGGCAGAGGTGTTCGTATATAGGGAAAAGTTACTTGACTGTTAACGTCAGGATGTTTATCGTTTTGGTAAATTGGCCTGCCGATCAGAGTGTTTGCTCGAGTAGTAGTCCAATGCCGTCCTCCTTAGAAATGACTCCCTTACTCTATGCCAGTTTGATCTTCACGGTGCTGTTTGTGTAGATAAGAGAGAGGACAGATGATAATATTGGTGACGAAAACGATCATTACAATAGTGATAACGACGATGATATTTCCAGGGAAACTAACATGCTGGATGACTGGTTTGTTCATTTATGGTAGAAAAACCAAATACATTTATGCGATAATCAGAAAAGGACCGAAAAAGTTATTTTTCCCAAGTCGGACATTTTCAGATGTATCACCAGCTTCGTACTAGAAGGCTAGCAGGTAACAGAATGTAAAGTAACTTGGAATACTGCAGCCGACTTACCAGCGGCCCACTGATATTTTCTTAATTTGACAACATATTTAAGAAATGTAGTCGAGTGTTCACCATTTTGGACGTTTAGCACACGGCGTTAGTTGCCTCATCAGACAACAACGACGAACTTGTAAACTTTTGCAAACAATGGACACAGACTATGTAACTATGTGCTTCTTGGATTAACTGACTATACCTTTTCGTCGTATCAGTGTCTGATTTCGCTGAGACCACCACCACCACCAGCAGGCTACAGCAGCAACAGCAGGATGAGTATGGTGGACAAAATTCTGCTTACCCACCCCGGATCTATGGGTTAATAAAGGCTAGACCACCAAGTTCGCACAAGGCGTCGCATGTTTAATGTTTGTCCATACTTCCTACTGTTTCATATCG